GTTGGGACCAGGGGCACTAAATAATAAAGTGCGTACCCAAACCGGCTAATTGCATTAATACCGATCAGGCTGCGTTGTGTAATGTATGTAAATAGAAGCACTGGGAGGGTTCTTCTGCGCAACAACCAGTGATCTATGTGGTGAAAGATGTGTAGTTGTTTTGTGATTTAGGACTTGATAAAAAATAAATAAATGAACAAGAATTATACAAAGATAAAACAATATTTTAACAAAAAATACAAACCACTAGAACAAAATACCGCAATAAACAATATCGTTTGATTCTTTATATTTGTGTATAAATTACAATAATAAATTAAAATCTATGATCCTTGTGACCAAGTACTAAAAAATAGAAATGAAGGTCTTTATTATGACAATAATCTATAAATTGATTTTCAAGTTAATAATAAATTTAAAAGTCATCAAAAAAAATATTAACAAAACGATAATAATAACACTATTTCTAACTAATGGACATACATTTCATTGCTGTATTATTTGAGCAAAAAGAGCTGATCGGCCGGTAGTAGTAGTGTTCACTACAACGTGCGTAGTAAGGAGTAGATATGCATCTAACTTTTGAAAGTGTTCCAGAAAGTCTGACACTTTTATATGTATCTTAAATTAAAGATAATATAATGTACTTTATTATATAAAAAAAAAAAAATTTCGGACTTTAAATTGTCTTTACGGTGAAAATGGCTACCAAATGTTATTTTTGTGTGAAAATTCTCGATTTTTTTTTTACATTTTTAACTTTATAATGCTATAATTTATTAAAAAGTGTATGGATCAAAACGATTTTTTTATGAGAAATAATATTTTTTAATAATCCCTTTTTCATTCGACATACTTTATCTTAATCAGGATATTAATAAGGAAATAGCAGATCATGTAGCTTTTGGAATAATCCACCAATTTTTTAAAATTAAATACTATCTAAAGATTTGAATCGAAGCGACTCCACTTTGTTGAGTTTTTTTTGTTTTTGTTAATATTTCAATAAGTTATGGTAGTTTTAAATACAAAAAATATCATGATAAGAACTGATTTTTTTGGCAAATATTACATTTTTTGTTTAATTTCGGTGGCAATTCACTCATAGACGATAAGGTATCGGGACTAATTTTTTTTTCATTTTATAGTACATGACATAAGCTTTAATTTAGTATATAGTTAAAGGACGTAGTACTTCCGGAACATTTTCAAAAGTTAAGTTGAAAAAGTTCAATTTTTTATACAATGTTTCAAGTTTTGATCGCCCCCTATATAAAGAGAAATTTTAATAAAAAGTATGTCCAATAAAAGATGTACTTATAATGTATTTAGAAAAAAAAATTGTGCTGAAATTTGAAAAATTGAACATTTTTCGAAAAGTTATAGCATTTTAAAGTTGAACATTTTAACATTAAAATACTATTTTTTTAACTACGGCTGTTTGCATGCAGAGGATAAAGTGTCGGGACAAATTTTTTTTTTCATTTTATAGTACATGTCATAGGCTTTCAATTAGTATATGATTACAGGACGCAGTGTTTCTGGAACATTTTCAAACGTTATATTGAAAAAGTTAGTTTTTGTAAAAAAATATACTATTTTAAATCTCCCCCTGTGAGCAGGTTAAGTATTGAATTTTCAAAAAAATAATAACGAATAAAAGGAAAAAATCTAAGGTTTCAATGAAAAGATTTTGTTGATTTTATTTTTAAAAAAGTTATGGAAGTCTTAAGAAAAAAAAATGAAAAAAAATAACAAAATTTACTGATTTTAAAAATTGTAATTTTTTTGAAGATTTCCCCCATTTGCGGGGAATGAGGAAAAATTTTTCAATTTTTAAGGGTAATGTCAATTGTGTTGATCCATACACTTTTCAATAAATTATCAATATTATAAAAATCGAGAATTTTCACACAAAAATAGCATTCGGTAGCCATTTTCTCCGTGAAGACAATTTAAAGTCCGAAATTTTTTTTTTTTATTATTATAAAGTACATTATATTATTATTAATTTAAGATATATATAATAGTGTTAGAATTTCTGGAACACTTTCAAAAAGTAAGTTGAAAAAGTAAATTTTTTGTGAAGAAGTTGTCATTTTAAATCGCCCTGTGAGCAGGTAAAGGTTTAAATTTATAATACATATATACCATATGATAGGTAAAGAGATCAATCGTCTAAAATAAAAATTATATTGGTTTGTTCATTGTTCATCGTTCATTTGGCAGTTTTAAGAAAAAAAAATTTTAAAAATTTCGAAAATTGGCAATTTATAAAATTGTAATTTTTTTAGAGGTTTCCCCCATTTATGGGGAACGAGGGAATTTTTTTCAATTTTTGAGGGTAATGTCTTCGACTAGATACGATTTGGGATCTTTTGACGTATTGTTCTGTAATATTCTCCTGTGGGATATTAATAAAATCAATACCTCTTTTATTTCTAAGACCACAGAAAAGAATACGCATATAATTTTGACCTTGGTCACTATAAAGTGTCTGTCTAAGCGCCTTCGAGGCACGACAAAAAGCATTAATTAAGGGAAGGTAATAAAAAGTAACTGTCTTGTTTTGATTGCAGTACGGATTGGTGACTCAATATGTCTATGAAAAGGCATGACACAATCAAGACATCTCATCCCTGTTGATGCATTTCATGGTACATTATACAGAGTGTTCAGTAAATAAGGAAACGAATTTCTATTGTACTCATTGTTTGTAACAATTTAACTGTTTCCTAACTTACTGAACACCATGTATAAGGGCTTGAGACGCTGTTTTTCCAGTAAGTCAATCTTTCATTTTTTTTGTCCACTTTTCTCACTTAATAATGTCAAGTTAACCAATTTAATATTATTCCAAACATACTCAAGCGTATTCTTTATACTGTGTGTCTATAGACCTAACTTTTGTCACTAAATCTAAACTATACATTTGTTAAAATAATTAACATTTTCAATAGTACACCCAAAGAAAAACCTCAATCAATTTTGATAGAGAAATTTTATCAAGGGCTTATGATAATGTTTTATTAATACGAACAAAATAATTATTCTTATGAATAATTATTGTTCAAGACAATAAAAAAAATCATCATATTGATAAATATATCATAGATTCAATAGTAATGATATATTTATCAAATTGAACAATGAATTTATTATATAGATCGAGGTTTTTCTCTGGGTGTAATAAATACGCTTGTATTAACCAAATACAATTCTCTTTTATCAACATACCTAATATAATAATTAACAACATTCTTAATAACCATAAATCTACAATCAAGATTCTATCACCATCAGTGAATATCATGTAAGAGTAGTTTTAATACATTAACTACACTAATAAAGTAATAACTAAAATCAAAGTACTTATATCTATTATGTCTTTACGGATGATGGCCATTATCATTCATCTTTATGAATACCATCCCCATCAACTTTATTTTTAGTTATTACAGTTCATTAAAATCGGTCCAGCGAGAGATGAGATTGAGCGTTCAGTCACAAAAAAAAAATAAAATAAAAAAAAAACACATCATAGTAAAATTAATACCTTCTCATCTTCGCATTGAAGTTAAAAGAATTATGTTTCCTCTAGTGTAAATTTAAATTTTAACAATGTTTTCGTTTGGAAAATAATTTAGGTAGATTAAATTTGATTTAAAAATTTAATGTTACATTAATTTTATAAGAAAGTTTCTATAACATTATTTTTCAAAATTGCTGTTTGGGCAAAAAGCTTAGGAGTTGAGGACTGAAGAGAAGCAAA